TATAAAAAAAAAAAATATATACATAAAATATATAATGGATATAAATAAAAATAGCCCGGTTTGTTAATACAGGGCTGCACACCCTGTAGTAACCCACGGCAGTCAGATTTCCTTGTGGGTTTTCCCCAGGTAAAGCCTCCAGCATCGCCTATGGCCATGGAAGAAGGGAACCCAACGCCAGCGGAGAGCATCCCATCGACCTCGCAAGCACGTGCAGGGGAGAAAGCAACCATTAACCTGTTGGCAATCAAGTAGATTTCCATGCTTTGAAGGAAAATCGACTTGCTGAATTCAAAATCCAGGCGAAAAGCTACCTGCGGAGGTGGGAAACAGATGGGAGAAAAGATTAGCGAGGAGGAAAAAACGCTGGCCAGGAGTGATGTGGGGGCTCTGCGGGTGAGAGCATCCCACTGGGAGATGCTGCCGGGCTTTGGGCAGAGCCTCGGCTCTCCAGGGAGAGATGAGGCCACGTTGGGGTTTGCAAGATTTGCTCTCAGCCCTGCACACTGCATATTTTTTTTTTTTTTCTCTCTGAGATTGTAGAAGCAAGCAGCCCCCCTTTGGCAAAGAAACCCTCCGGGGGACCTGCAGCAAGAGGCCGCTCGCTCCCATCTGCGGCACGGGGTCGGCTGGCGGGGGAAGGCAGCCGGAGAGAGGCCAACAACAATAAAATGTGATAAATGTCACATCTGCAAGAGCTGTGGCAATGACCTCAAACTGTCTGGGACTGAACAGCTGAGGATAATATTAAAGCTCCTGCTGCTCTTGGGCCAAATTTCCATTTCCAGCTTGTCTTTGTTTTGGCAGAACCTGGACTACCTGATGCCACGCAGATGCATTCTCAGCCCCCGTAGGTCACGGGGAGTCGGGCTGCTGCGCTCTCGTATACGGCCGCAGGCATCCGAGGGGCTTTTTCGGGAGCTTGAAAGCCTAGCGAGGTGCCTGGAGCTCATCCGTCATTTACAAGCCTCTGACAAGGAAAGGCTTCAAACGGATACGGCGGTTGGAAAGATTTTTCTCTTTTGATCCCGCTTGCCTCGGCCTTTTTTCCCATGGGGGTGCAGGATGGGCAGGTGGGATTTCACAAGATGACTGCAGCGTGTTGCCCCAGTGAGCGAGGCATCTCATCCATGGTATCTCCTCCTCCTTCCTTCCTTCCCTTAATGGTGCACGTAACGTTTGCGAAGGGTTTTATGGCATATAAAAATGATGCTCACTGGACCTGGGCTTACCCCAAGTGCTGGGAGCTGTTGGGAGCTGCGGTTTGGAATACGGCGGTTGGAAAGATTTTTCTCTTTTGATCCCGCTTGCCTCGGCCTTTTTTCCCATGGGGGTGCAGGATGGGCAGGTGGGATTTCACAAGATGACTGCAGCGTGTTGCCCCAGTGAGCGAGGCATCTCATCCATGGTATCTCCTCCTCCTTCCTTCCTTCCCTTAATGGTGCACGTAACGTTTGCGAAGGGTTTTATGGCATATAAAAATGATGCTCACTGGACCTGGGCTTACCCCAAGTGCTGGGAGCTGTGGTTTGGAGGATGTCCCCAGGCCCTGGGGGCTTGGGCAGCTCAGAGGAGGGTCCAAGGGGACCCTGGGTATTTGGAGCAAGGAAAGTCTGTCAGGTGGAGGAAGGAGCTTGGGGAAATTGGAGGATGTCCCCAGGCCCTGGGGTCTTGGGCAACTCAGAGGAGGGTCCAGGGGGACCTTGGGTATTTGGAGCAAGGAAAATCTGTCAGGTAGAGGAAGGAGCTTGGGGAAGTTACCATCAGTAGATTGAAACCATGAATTGCTCCAAAGCACTGGAGTCAAATTCTTTGATTCGGAGGAGCGGGGTTTGGTTTGGGTGCTCTCCTAGCATCAAGCCAGTGCCCTAACCATCCCAGCTTCCCTAACACGCCTTTCAAACACCAAGACAGAGGGTAAGGGAAGAAAACAAGTGTTTTTCTTCAAAAATCCTGTTCAAAGCTGCCCAGCCCAAAGATGGGTGTATGCAGCCCCGTGGCCGTGCCAGGGGCAGACTCCTGTCCTGCGAGCAAAGCCTCACTGGGGCTGGGGGGAATGGCTTTACCTTGGCCTTGGCTCGGAAGAACGGGTAGCTCACGTTGCACACTTTCTTGTTGGGGTGCTTGTCGTCAGTCATGCAGTCAATGTTGATGTCCGTGTCATCCTAAAATGGGATGCAATGTGTCCATGGCACTGGGCATGAGCCCCATGACCTGGCTCTTTATGGAAGTGGCAAACACACCTGTGAGGCTCACAGCAGGCTTTAACTTCTGGAAAAAAGGACCAACCAATCCAACCAACCTGCCCGCTTGCTGCAGGCTGGGAATCCTTCCCACGCACCTGAATTTCTAGGGCCATGCCTAGAGATGGGCATTTCTAGCAAGTGGCTTCCATCTTTCTGGTTTAGATCCTCCTTAGAAATGTAATCACAGTGACGAATGAATAAACTCGATTATTCTTGGCATCATAATTGGGAAGGAGAATATTTTTCTGTGATGAGGAGGCACAGGGAAGCATCAAGAGATAACATGAGATATTATTCTGCATGGCCACCAGCGAAGCAGTAATATTTAATTTCCTTGTCTCAACAGTTACGTTCCTGCTGCCGGAACACCTTGCAGCTCAGCAGCCGGGCTGGGGGAGCTCCTGCCCACCGCAAAGCCACAGGTTGGGCTGGGATGGGACACCGACCTTGTCCCCTCCGCTGCCACGCTGTAGCAACCCTGCAAGAGCTTGTTGCCTGGTTGTATGCAGGTGTCCATCCCCACCATGAGATGAGGAGCTATCCCAGCTTATGGCCCTGTGTTAGACCCCACAAGGCTCTCCGAGCTCCTGCTGATGGACAAGTCCTGGGCAGGAGCTGAAACATCCCAGCACCAGCCGCAGGGAAAAAACCTTGACAGCCATCAGCAACAGCCCAGAGCTTCTCCCAATCATCTGCCGAGATAATGGGCTTTCCTGGGGCCACAGCTACTTTTTATCTGGGTCTCTGTACAGCCTCTGACACAAACATCCATCCCTCCCCGGTTTGAAATGTGCTTGTTTCCAAGGAGCAGCAGCCAGGGACCCATTAGCAGTGACATAACTAGCGGCAAACGCTTCCTGCGACCGCTGCTGCGTGGTGCTTCCCCTTACTGAGCATCGCAGGGTTTCCCCCCCTCACTTAATTTAGAGTGATCTCTCAGGAAATACATTTTTCTTATTTTGTGGGCAGCGTGCCCCACAATTTTCCATTGGCACGGCTTATAGAAAAAACCAACGCAGGAGATGGGATCTGCGGGCGGGTATGAAGTCACTGGGGGGATGATTGAGGGCTCAGCAGCATCAGCATATTTCCCCAAACTCGCTGGGAAAAGGAAGGGTTCGCATTGCGTTGAGGAAGTGGTGGGCGTCAAATATTGGGGTTGGGGGGGGTGTGCGACCGTGGCAGGGGGACGGGCACGTCCAGGGGACAGCCGTAGGGAAGTGGCATCGCCGGCTCAATGCTGAGCCGTGGCCACGTTCCTGTTATCAGCCCATCCTTCCAGGAGTTATATCTCAGCTACAAAAATTCATCCCTGACGGGAACTTGGCCACGTGCAGCAAGTATTTTTAAACCATTGGAGTAGAAAAATAAAGAGGGAAATAATTTCATCTGCCTTTGACCTTCTTTCGGGCTCTTAAAAATTGAAACGTTTCTGTATTTCCAAAATAAGGAGCTGAAAGGGCCTCAAGTGCTTAGAAACTAAGTGCATAAACATGCCTGATTTATGAGGGATGGAGACGTTTTTGGGCTCTGGCTTAGGACACAGCTTTCTCATCCGGCCGGGATTAGAAGCGCCTCTGGAAAACCCTGGATCCCCCCCGGCAGCCTCACCTTGGGGATCAAGCTGGCAAACTGGAGGTTCCTGGAGAAGGAGATGTTGAGGACCGTGCTGTACGCGTTTTCGCCCCGGTTCTCCAGCGCCGCTTCCACAGCCACCCTCCTCCTGCTGCTCTCGATGACGAAGACGGAGGTGTCGAAGGAGAGGGTGAAGGCTGAGCAGTCCGGCGGTGCCCGCCGCAGAGCCCGCCGGCAGTACTCCCTGCAAGAGGAGGGCAGCAGTTTTGCCTGATTTTTGGCTAACGGTGCCTGGCTTTCTCAAACCCCGTTAGGAGCTCTTCAGGCAGCTGGGATGGAAGGAAAAGAAATAGATCCCAGACCATTAGCCAAGGGTAAAGCTGGCATTTAGGTTCAGCTTGGCTGAGATCTCCCTCCCAACAAGCTGACCCGCACAGGGTCAGCAACGGCAGCGTGTGCTTTTGTAAGCTTGATGGAGGTTTGGGGCATTGATTTTCTTTATGGAAAATGAAAAAGGAAAGGAAAATGTGAGCCGGGTCCACCTTCAGAGCCACCTTCTGCCTCTAACAGCGGAGCAGCCAGGGCCTGGATTGAAGGAATAGTTCTATTCCACCAAGTCACCTCAAAAGTGGATTTTATAGCAGAAATCACCTCCATGCCAGTTGCACGATCCCGTGCACGTGTAGGGCATGATCCTGTTCCCACTGGTGGCATCAGAAAACCTTTTCAGGCTTCAGGAAGGACAGGATTAGAGACCTGGCACCCTGATAAACCACAGCAACTACCCATGGTTATGTGTAGGACTCCAGCCACTAAGATCCATAACTAATGCCACACCTACAGCTCACTTCAACCTCCCACGGCACAGACGGCCAGGACCGCTCAGACCCTGGGTCGCAGCCTCAGCACCGAGAGCTTTGCAGGAGACACAGAGCACTAGGTGCTGGATGACGGGATACCGGTGATCCCAGGTAGGAGTGCTGGCCATGGGCTTGGTCCAGAGCCCACTGCCGTCGACAGGAGGCAGAGGTTCAGGCTCCTGTGCTCCTGGATAACCCTGAAAAGCTCTCTAAGGGATCAGATATAGCATATAATTATTTGTGCTGCGTGAGTCAAGCCTGTAATTGCCAGGGGGTAATGCCAGCCTTGCATTTATTCCTCCCCTATTATTTACTGATTTGTCTCCCTGGGGCTCATCACCATGGCATCAAATATTAGTTGTTTTGTGGATTCCCTGAAAAACCACTGAGTCGTTCCAGGCAGGGAGCAGGGAGAAGCTCGGAGAACCGCTGTGAGCTGGGGTGCTGAGAAGCAGCTCGTGGTGGTGTTGGATGAAGGACCAGCTGCGATGTCAGAGTACGGAGCATGGGTTGGGGCTGGGTTTTGGAGCCCTGCCCCTTCCCCCACCCCCTATCCCCCCAGGGTTGTGATACTGGTTGGGACAATGCTCTGAGCAACCTACTCACATGGCACTGGGCACATCGCTTCTGGCATCCAGGACCAGGTCAGGGACACAGTGCTCATCCTCATTGCACCCGTTCCAGAATGGGACCTGAGGGGATGACAAGAGCAGCTCAGTGACGATTTGTGCCCTGGGTTGCATTCCAAGGAGAAGAGACACGGGCAGTGACCCCCAGCTGCAGCGAATGCCCAACACATGGCTATCACGGCAGGGAGCAGGGATTACAGCCCCAGGATAAAGACGCAAATGCTACACCCAGAGGTAAATCTGCTGAGCAAGTGCCTGGTAAAAGGCACCCCAGGAGGTCGGTGCTGCTACCTACCAAGACCTTGAGTGAGGTGGGCCAGCCGTCGTCCAGCATGGGGCCGTTCTCGGGGTGCTCCAGCTCGTAGTCGATGGAGAAGGTCACCGGCTTCACGTAGTCAGCTGTGTCCTGCAGCAGACAGAAAGCGTCGTTGAGAGGGACAGAGCTCCTGCTCACGGAGGAACAGATCAGAGAGCAACGTAAGGCAGGACTGCAGGCACGTGGGATTATTTTATGACATAAAAGCTTTGCAATCCAATATATTTGGGGTGTAATTGTCCTGCCTCTCCAGCTAACCCTTACCCGGTGACAGGGACAACCTGAGCTCAGCAGTGCTGCCCAACACCTCTCTGACAGCGCAGGAATGATTCACCCTGGAGACACTATCTTCAAAATTTGGGTGCTCTGAGGGTGCTGACCCTGAGCCAGGCTCCCAAGGGAGGACAGAGCTGTCCTGCAACCCTTACCCAGGTCTCAGCTGGCCGGTAGCAAAGCTGCACCTTCCCTGGAGCTCTTCCCAGGCATTGTCCCCACTGCACGGGGTGCAGTGTGGTGCTCTGAAGGGAGATGCCTCTTAGGCTAAGTCACAAGCTCTGTCTTGAGCTCCAGACTTGAATTTCCCAGAAGTTCACAGCAGTTCAGGCCAGGGCTTGGGGCTGGGCCAGTCTGGCAACTCGGCCGCCCCTGGCCTCCACAATATTCTCATCATTCACTGGGAATGTTTGATTTTGGCTGGGTTTGTGCATCAGCTGTTCCCTGTGAGTGGTGCAGAGGGTTTTGTCGGCTCCTGCACCCAGGGAGAGGGACCCTGATGGTCAGAGGGGTGAAGGGGGTGAGCGTGTCAGGGACAGACATAGAGGTTTTTGCTTCCTGACAGAAAAGAAAAAATGAGTTTTCACCAATTTTGGAGCAGGAGGGCCAGCTTGACTCGGCTGTCTGGAGTGCATGCCCTCCCTGAGGGCATGGCCTGTGGCTCGTGGAAAGGAGCAGAGCACAAGCCGGGGCTGCAATGAAGTCAGCGCTCGGGGACTCAGCAGCTGCCGCATGCCGGCAGCTCCCTCCCTGACACACTCCAAACCAAAGGGAAACAACCCAAAGCGAAGAAATCCAGACTTGGGGATGGATGAGGCTCAATTTCCAGCCCCACGAGCCCATCGAGGCTCTTCTGGTTTGCACAAGGCAGAGAGCATCTTTGCCTGGGTGGCTGGCTCTCCCCGGGGGCTGGCAGAGGAGGACACCCCATGCCCTGTTCTCCCTCGCACTCACCAAGACGTGGAACTGGAGCCTGTCGCAGTGCTCCTGCCCGGCCAGCAGCACCAGCCCCTTCTGCGTGTGCCGCTCCCCGCTCTCGTCCAGGTGAGCCCGCGGCGTGTACCTGCGCTCGTCGATGGTTGCGTTGTACCGCAGCGCTGGAAGAAGAGCGGCACCGTCAGGGCTTCTCCCTGGGGTTATACTCAATATATAGCAACACCGGGTCAAAAACGGGCTTTTGGGCACTCAATTCCCTGTTTTCCTGCTGTGAGGAGCGTGGCAAGGAGCACACTAAAGGAAAAATTGGGAAAATTGGGCTGTAGTTGTCATTGCCTGTTTCTTACAGACATTTCTTTAGGGCAAAGCATCCGCTCTCTGGGTCAAATGAGGAACTTTTAGTAACGCATTTTTAAAGACACTGCGTAAAACCTGTGCAGGATATGTAATTATTTGACTCGTATATTCCCCTGCTTTCCTGTGCCAGTTCTGAAGGTGCTGTGCCCCGGAGCATCTCCTCTCCTAGATGCTTTACTGGAGAGGATTTACTTCCTGCAGTGCTGTCAGAAAGAAACTGGAGGTCCCTAACCTGGTGTCGAGCAGGGGAGGGGGTGGAATTGTACCCACAGCACCAGTGTGATGCAAAACATGCGTAAGCCAAGAGCAGCCATCAGCCCCCAGCACGCACCATGCACAGGGTGGCTCTTCTGGGTGAAAATAAGTGTAAAAGCAAATAAATAAAGAAAACTCCACTCAGCTTTTGGCCCTGCAAGCTCTGCAATGACAGCAATTGGAAGGAAAACACTGGATTTTGATAGTACAAATGAAAATTCTTGCTCTAGGGGATGGGAGTTTTTGCTTTGGCTTTTCTCGGGACCCAATCTCCCTTGGAGAGTGTTTGCTGCTGGGTTGCAGGGAGCCGAGCTGCTATCGCTTCCTCCCGCTCCAGCTGAGTCACGGGCATCTGCCGGGTAGACCCAGGGTCACAGCAACGTGCAAGGGTTTAAAAGCAGAGTTGGCCAGTAACTTCACAGAGATTCCCCGGGATATTAAGGAAACATGCACATATGGTTGGCAGATGTGTCCTGCTGCTGCAGCGGGGAGCATGGATGAGCTCTGCGGGAAATGTCCTCTCCCGTCCTGCTGGCCGGTGGGGTGGTGGTGACATCCCTGTCACACACCCCACGGCAAGACGAGCTGCAGGAGAGCTTGGCCCCGGGGGTGTAGGTGAGAGAAGAGGTTAATCACGGGTAAGGTGGTATCCTTGGGGTGTCCCTTGGCACTGCTTAATGGCAGAGCCACCGTCCCTGCTACATCAGTTGGGACAGAGACACATTTGTAGGTAAAAAGGGACGTGGCAGATGGCAACGTGCCGTCCTCCGGACACGCTGAGCTCCTGGATGGTTTCTCTCGGCAGAGGCTGGGTGCTCCCTTGGGGCCAGAGACCTAAACGACACGTGAATTGGGGTTCGTGTCGTGTGTGCAGCCGTGCCCCTCACCCACGCTGGCTGTCTGGAAGTGAGGCGAGAGGAAGACAGCAGTGAAGCAGACAAAGGCCGACATGCAGGTGGCATCCTTTCCGTTCCGCTTGCAGTCCTTGGTGAAGATGTTGATCTTGGAGGGCTCAAAGCGGATGCTGGCGTTGATCTGGACCACGCTGCGGGACCTGGGGGGGAGCAAGGATGGGGAGGTGTGCTGGGGCATGGGATGCCCGCAGACATCTGCGGCAGCCCCCAAAAGCCTCCAGATTCACCCTTTTCACACTTTCTTCACCCTTTTTCCCTGACATCATGAAGTTGCTGATGAAGACCAAAGGCCACCACAGCACACCGATCTCCTCACAGCTCATCTATGTCATATTTGAACAATAAAATCCCTTGCACCTCTTTCCTTCCTGCTTATGTCAGAGAAGTAGCTCAGCACCGAGAGCAGGATTTGGTCCCCCTGTGTGCACATAGCACTTTCAAGGCAGACCTCAGGTTGGCCCGTGCCTGCTGGGCACAACTCTGTCCTAACAGCTTCAAGGGACTTCCCAAACATTAATCAGTATTTGCAAATATTAAATTGTTATTTAATAAAACCACAGGGAGCCTGGGCAAATCAGTGCAATATATCGGCTGGTTTGAAACTTTGTGGGGAACTAATGGTGAAATTCACTGCAAAACCAACTCTGATGTCCTCCTAGGGTCCAACTGCATTGAAATCCCATGGTCCTGCTGGACAGGGGGTTGTTCTTGTGGAAACATGGGTCAGATTATTGGGAGATCAGCTCTCCCCTGAAAAATGTCAGCAGGTTGCAATGAGCTTTGGGCAGAGGAGAGTACCAAATGCTATAGAGCTAACCACAACAGCACCGCGTTCCCCAGAGAGCCGACGGCCAAGTCTACGAGCCCATCTTCATTCAGGTCCAGCTGTCCGTGGATGCTGCATCCAAAATACATCAGACCTGGCGCAAGGTCCGCAGCTGCTATCCGCTGAAAAGCAAAAGGGAGAGTCCAGCCTGGTTCCCAGCAGGAGCATCCCTGCCTCTGAAGGAGGGGTTTGCCACGCTGACCTCCACCACGCTACTGAAGATGGCCCTTTCCAAGTGATTGCATCAAACACTGTGTCCTTGCCCATGGCAGGGGGGTGGAACTGGATGATCTTAAAGGTCCCTTCCAACCCAAACCATTCTGTGAATCTATAATTTTCCAGGAAATAAGACAAATTTCTCTTCGGAGATTTCATTCAGAGATTTCGGCTGAAATTGCTCTGCATGTTTACTATTTCTCACAAGTGTGAGAAATATTTTATCTATAGCAATTTGCTGTACCAAGTGCTAAGCATTACCCCTAATTTCAAGCATGTTTTTCACACCCTACATTTGCTTCATCTTGGGCCCCTCACAAGAGAAAATATCCAGCAATAACAACCATGCAATACTGCATGTGACTTTATTGTGCTCTATCAGTCCTTAAAATGGGCACAAATGACAATTTATTCTGATGAAGGATGAGGACAACCGAAGCACCCGGGAGCCGTACCTGCTTGTACTTCTTCAGGATGGTCTCTTCAAAGCCGAGGAAGATGTATATTGCTCCTTGGTGCTCATCCTCCAAAGGTGCCCCCACGACAAGGTCGTTGTAGGAGTCCTGGTTGAGGTCCGGCACGGCAGCGATGCAGGAGCCGAAGCGGGAGTTCTGGTAGCTCTGCAGGTCTACGAGGGCACCGCTGGAAACGAAGCGGTTCTGCTGGGCCAGCCAAAGAGAAAAGGCAACCCCCCCACCCCCCAAAAAAAATGTCATCAGCAAGTGTGGAGAAAACCCTTGAAAGCAAGGAACGAGAGGCAGTGATGTGTGAGCAATTTCCCTAGGGAAGGCAGTGACACCCCTCCTGGAGCCGTGGGACTTTCTGCTTAGCACATCCATGGGGATGGACGAGCCCCCCAGCAGCCCCACGCCTGCTCTGCCTCCCTTTTATAGCAACCTGCATAAATAACAGCATCTAAAGTTGTGCTTTAGATGTGGGGGCTCCTGCTGTGCCGGGTGAGCAACCTTGGATATAGAGCACAACCTGCTCACCGCCCCACGTGCCCCTGGAGCCTGACGGGTTTGGCTCAGAAACTGCATTTTCACCCAGATTTGAAGGCAGCAGGAAAGCTGGTCCTGCCCCAGGGCACTGCTGGGTGCCAGGGAGGGGACAGGGGTGGCACATGTCCCGTCTGTGCCCTGAAGCGATGGTAGAGGGACCAACCTTGCCGCTCCCCATGACCTAGGAGGATACCCTAGGAGGTAACAGTTTTGGGGGAATCAAAGTGAATGAGGACTGTTTATCTGGAGAGACACCCATGTTGCAAAGACCCCACCACACACCTCATGCGTCGCTTCCACAGGGCTGGGAAACTCTCCAGGCTGCGAGCAGCAAAGCCTTGGGAGGAGGCAGCTCCACTCCAGCACAGGCTGGGCTCCCTTCGCTGGCAGCCAGCAAAGCCCCAGAGATTGTTTATAAACAAGGAAAACGGACAAATCCTCCTTGACTCTTGCAGCAGCCACAACAGCGAGGTGCTGCCAAGCTCTGTTGCCTTTGGACCAGGCGGCTGTGCCCTGGGATGTTTGCCAAGGAGCTGCCGGCTGTGTGCAGCCCGGAACCACCCCGGGGAGGTGACACAAGGGGACAAAGCACAGTTCCCACACCCAAACACCCAGCTTGTCCCACCGTGCTGCCACGTACCTCCCGCAGCGTGTAGACATAGACCTTCCCCCTCTCCCTGCCCTCGCTGAAGTACATGGGGGCTCCCACCAGCAGAACATCCGTGACGCCGTCACCGTTGACGTCGAGGGAGTTGATCTCGCTGCCGTAGTAGGAGCCGATCTGGAGGAGACAGAGGAGGGGATGGGAACAACGCTCCTGGGGTGCAGGGGCACTGCCACCCTCCATGGTGGGGACCGCAGGGACATTCCGAGCCCTGTCCCTGCTACAGCCGCACGGTTCGGAGCTGTGGGTGTAGCGAGACCCTGGGCATCCCCAGCTGCCTGCGGATGCGTTACACTGCTGGGCCATTTAAACAGATTTGTGAAGTGAAGGGGGAAGATTGGTGGAGGAGCATCCCCTCAGATGGAAAAATCCATGTGCATCCTCAGCGTTACCTGCTCTCCCTTCAGTGCCTGATGGATGGTGAGGTTTCGGTTGTTGTGCATGCTGAAGATGATCACTTTCCCGGTGTGGTTGAACCTAGGCGCTCCCGCGACATAAATCCGCTCGTGCTTGGTGGATATGACGGAGGAGACGGTGTAACCTGCGAGGGCGGGTGGGCGTGGGGTGAGCACAGGTCCCTGCCTGCTCCCAGCCGCTGCCCAGGGATCTGCTTTCCATTAGCCCCTGGCTGCTGACACAACTCTGGCCACCTCCCTGATGGGAAAGCTAGAAACCCAGATTTCTGCAAAGATAAAATCGCTCAAATAAACCCCAGCTTTGAGCCGTCTGCTCAGGTCCTACCTACGCCCTGAGCCAAGAGCTTCGGCACTGCCTAACAAGCCTGGCAAATCCCACGCAGAATCCTTCTCCCATCAAAGTCGAGTCCAACTCACAGCCCGGGAAGTGTTTCAGTTCGTGGCTCACATCAAGTTAAACAAATGCCAGCGAGGCGTGTGCCTGCTTCATTGCTCCTTCGAGACCCCGGCAACACCGCGTCCGAGACCGGCGCTTTGCTGATGCTTGATGTTAACATTCCCAGGCCAATAAAAGCCATGAAAACCCTTGCTCACGAGTCCTAACGGAAATAACCCTGCGTAAGCAAATGACCCTGAGCAATCCCTCTTCCCTACCCAGACGGGTTCTTTTCGGTGCTGGGATCACCGACACCACACGTCACGCGCTGGGCTGCGGCACTTGCCCGTGGTTGCAGATGGACTTATGTAGGAAATAAAATGCTGGGGCTACTAAATCCCATTTTTCAAACCCAGCTCCTGGTTTCTGCATGTTCACGGTCAGTTTTAAATGCTACTTAAATTATTAGAAACTCAAAGCATGGCTGAGCAGCAAGCTGGATCAAATCACCTTGGGACACAAGCAGTTGAATTTTGAGTATTTCCAGGGACTATAGGGGTTTACAGACCCCTTTCCCTGTGCATTTGCCTTTCCTGTTTCCCTAAATATTCTCCTCCTGGGGGAATATTCCTAAGTCAAACACCAGCTTGAAACCCCAGGTCCCTAACTTGGTGAGCCAAGCTGCTCCGCAGCAGGATGCACCCGCGTTTCCCTAATATTTCTGGTTTTCTTACCCCAGGCAATGGCAAAGAGAGAGCCCAGCTGAGTCCCCATGTGCTGTCATGGGTATCCCATGCATAGCCACAGCCGTCCCCTCTCCAGGCACTCCAAGCCGAGCCTGGGGGACACTGCTGTCACCCCAAGAGGGTATCCACATATCCAGGGGCTGTGTCCCCAGCGAAGAGCCAGCGAGTGACCCCCACAGCATCCCACCCTGCTCCCTGCCACAGGGCAGCTCAGCCTGGCACGCACATCTCCGGAGAGAGGCTTCATTTTCCAAAACCAGGCTGATATTTTTACTCCGGGGCTTCAACACATGGAACAGATTAACCCAGCAGGTATTTCCTCCCTCGGCATGAAATTTCATCAGAGCTTTTTAAACCGTTCCGGTAAGCGCTGCAGATGACGGGGGCTGAGCTAATTCTGCATTTCCATCGCTTCTGTGCTGCACACCGTCGCCGACACTGGACTCTTCCCAGGTGAGGGTGCTCACGGACGCTGCATCCCTCAGCAAGGGGCGACACAGGTCCCACACCAAGGGAGCTGACAAACAGCCGGGCACGGTACCGCCTACGCTGGGAGCACTGGCAGCTATTAGTCATTTGGGAAATATGCTGTGCTTCCTATTATTAAACCTAAAATCATGAATTCAGCTCTGGCAGCAGAGCTTCATTCGGCATTCTTACCTAAATATGCTCCGTGATTTTTCAGCTCCTCCGGGAACTCCTGGAGATAAGATTCCCGCAGGGGAATGACCTTCCCACTGCTGGTTTCCTTCAGGACGGCTCCATTCCAGTCGTAGGCACCCACTGCCCCCAGCAAGATCCCGTCCTGCGGAGGAACGGGATAGTTTGGGGGTATTTCTTGCCAAGCGGAGGCAATTCTCCATATGGGCAAAGTTGATCCACGCTGAGATGGGAAAGGGGACCCGATGGGCTGGTTTGGGGTGAGAAGATATGTGGGGGTCCCTCAAAGGCCAACTCCTAGACTATGTCCTTATTGGAGGTTGCAGGGTGCAGAAGAGATAAAAGGCAAATGGTCCCTCCCAGAAACCACAAGTTTTACAGAAAAGAGAAGCAATCTTACCAATGGAAAAGAAAAAAATAATTAATTAAACAAAAAAGTAATTCTCCAAGGCACACCCAGCAAGATGGAGATTTTTAAACATGCCTGAGGGGCATGGGGTGGGGAGGGGGACCTGCTTGCACAAGCCAAAAAAACCCCATATTTACTCTCTTACTTCCACAACATGCGATGAAAATCCAGTCTGTGACATTTCCAGGCCAAAGGAAATTTCATTCTTGTTGGTTCCTTAAAAAAAAAAAAGAAAGGGAATTTGTATGTAATGGAGCGCTTTGCTTTGCTGGAGGTGTGATGGTGCCTGGGTGGGTCGGGGTGGGATGAACATCCACCTCCACCCCACCTGGAGCATAAAGAGCCTCAGTTTCCACAAAGGAGCCTGTTTTTCCCTAAATCACCACATTTACATGAGCTCTAATGGACACTGGGAGCTTTGCCCTGGTGCCTTTGTCTCCTTTTCTAGCTGCAAAATCACACAAAAATTTGGATTTAGAAGCTTTTGCTTCATAATTGCAACTGGATGAAGCTTCTCACCCAGGAAGCTTTCTTCCACAGGGAAGCGTTGGGATGGCTAGACCAAAGTAACCGGCAGACTGGTGGAGAGTTTGTGAGCTGGTTTGACCCAAATTCTCCCAAACCCTGAGATCTTTAATTCCAGTGGAAACCTTCCACCTTCTGTTTGAATTGTTCCTCCCAGGCTGTGTTTTTCCTATGAAATCTAGATAAATTTAGGTTTGAAAGCCGACATACTTGTCACAAGGCGGACAGAAGCGCTGTCATTTAGAACACAAATATTTCCTGATATTTAATTTCAGCCAATAAACCAAAGAAGTCTCACATTATTCCCATAATTCCACAATGTCTGGCACCCCAGGGAATCCCTGACAGTCCATGTGTGGGTTTTTTGCCTTCCCAGATGGGTTGGAATGAGGATCCCTTTGGTGGAGAAGGGATCTGTGCACCTGACGCTTCAGGGACACAAAACTCACTCAAAATAAAGACTTTTCTCCGCACCCCAGGGAATCCCTGACAGTCCTTGTGTGGGTTTTTTTGCCTTCCCAGATGGGTTTGAATGAGGATCCCTTCGGTGGAGAAGGGATCTGTGTGCCTGACGCTTGAGGGACACAAAAACCACTCAAAATAAAGACTTTTCCTTATATGTGAAGATATTCAGAGGATGATTTTAGGTTCTGTTTAAAGCAAATATTAGGGGAAACCCCCAGTGTGAACCGTTCAGATTCAGCAAACCGAGGACCAACAGCACATCCAAGGAAACCTGCTGCAACCTGGCTGGCTGGGATGTATCGGGAAGGACCATCACTCACCTTCCAAGCTAAATATCCTCTCCCCCAGCGCATCCACGATGTCTTTGAGTGCTGCTTCGTCTGTGACATTAAAGAAGTGCTTGTCATCCGGGTCGCTTGCGATAAATTTTATCTCGTTCAAAAAGGCTTCGGGATTGATTCCTCGTCTGTTATAATAACCCAACACCTAGGTTTGGAACAGAAATGTGAGACTCAGGGGTTTTCATGTGTTGGATAAAGCCATCCCAAAGCACCTGAGGGGCGTCCATATGGAAGGAGCCCGACAGCCTTGGCATCTGACACCCCATTGTGGGAGCAAACCGAGGAGCAAGGAGCTGCTGTAATCCCTCCAGGCAGCGCAGACCGGGCACCCCTCATGGAGTTCGGGTGCCCAGCGCAATGCAAGGTCCTGCCTGTCCCCAGTCCCTGATGCGCAGCCAAATCCCACCACCTCCTGCAAAAGCAGGACCAGCAGCACAGACCCCTGCCAATGCGCCGGGAGAGGTGAAGGTGGGCTGCACCGACAGCCCCATCGCACTGGGGTGCAGGAAGCACCATCCAGCGCTGCACGGCACGTGCAGCTGTTCGCTGCTGCAAGCATCCCCCTGCACTTACCGCCACCGCGTATCTGGTGACGTTGTCCTTCTCGCTGTCCTCAATCACCTTCTCCAGGTCTGGGCTGTCGTGCGACTCTCCATCTGTGATTACAATCATTACTCTCTTTGCCCCTTTTCGGCCACCTTTCTGAAACGCTTCCGAGCTGCAATTGAAGAGATGCCCTGGGCTGCTCAGCCTCGCCAGGCAGGTCACGGCTCCCACCGCCGCGCGCTCGCCGGAACCGCTGCGGCTGCCG